TTGCCATTTTAGCGGTTTCAGGTGGCCGCTTGCTCGTTTGCCACCTTATGTTATAAAAAAAAAGTAATAGAAATCGGTTTAGCCGTTTAAGCTACAAACTCTAACATCCATCTAAACTATCGCATTTATATTAGTATAAAGTATGATATACATATGTGTCTTTAGTGATATTTAAAAATGAATCAATATTAAATTATTATGTGATAGCTTCACAGTTTTACCGCATTTTATCGAAATTGCGCCAAAATATGAACGTAAAATAAGACACGACTTTTTTAAATTTTATGAACATGAGTTATGGGCGATAACCAGTAGAACTAAATATAAAAAGAATGAGAGTTTCTGATAATTGTAGTTACAAAGAAATCTGTTTAAATTTGTAGCAATGGAAACAAAACGCGGACGATTATACAAAACTTGTTCAAAAATTGTGAAATTTCAGTACAAGGAAAACTTAATCTACCTACGTATAAAAATACTCGAGTTTAATTTAATAAGCAAAACATTCCGAGGGAAATGTGCTAAATAAAAAAAATGTTTAAAAAAAAAATTAATACCACTACTCATCGCTAGATGGCGTACATAGAGTACGAAACCGATGTCAAATACTCGGAACTAGCAGAGTCTGAGAAATAATAACAATGAAATACTTCGGCGTTATTGAAATATGATTCCAACCTCACTTTATTATACTTGTTGATGTTACTTATGTAACATTTACTAGGATTTAGCCGTTAAATGCTTTGTTCTTTTTAAAAACTTTTTTATAAACCAAAATAAAACACCAACCGGTTGAGTGATCTACTTCGAGTTAAAAGTTGGTTTTAATAATGAGGGAATATGGTTTTATTTAATTCATATATCTTTATTTCTTATTCTCTATATAATACATTTTACAAGATTTGATATAAAAATAAAATAATACATATATAAAAAATAGAGCACCACCGGCTGCGGAATCCGTTGACTCAAGCAACCAGTGGTTAGGGCTGCAGAGACAGGAACCTCCTCACTATTCAGTTTCTAAAATAACCGCCTTTTGAATCGAGACCTTAATTCAATTGATTTTATTTATTATTATCATTTAGAGAATGTGTATACAAATACAGTAAAAAATTAGTATTTTATTTTAATATTTATAACTTTACAATTACCAAGCTAGTTTCATTTTCGTTTGTGCTATCGCTCGTAGCAAAAAAACGTTTTATTTTGCGCAGAGTCAATCTTTATTAAGGTTTAAGTCTACCCGATCTAACAAACTCGTAGTTTATCCTGATAGTAATACAAACAAGAAATATCAAATTCACTCAATATCAAAACTTCCCGATTTATTCGTAGAAACGACGTATTTATTTTTAAAAATAAAAACTGGATTGTATATTCGCATCTGTATTAGCTTGTTCTATATTTAAAAAATGCACAGATTATGTGATTCAGTGTTGCAACATTAATTATGTTTTTGAACGCGTCAGCTTTTGCAAACGGCTTGGCTTATTTTCCTCCGTTTTCCTTTAGAGTGGATTTTGTTAGAGTTTATTTTTAACGTTGATTTGTAATAATGAATATAGCTTGTAACTAAATTGTTTTATAGAATGAGACATTAACATCATCTTTTTATAGCTTGTAACGTAAATGTTTTCTTTTCGGGTGATGAATACATGAATTGAATATGATTGGCCGATTTTCTTGTTATTCGATTCGTATAAAAACAGGAGTTCGTCGAACTGTAGTGTTATTCCTGTCTGATAAGAGTTAATTTCGAGGTTATGATCGGTGAAGGTTTGTATGAATGTGAGATTAGAGGAATTATCTCGAAAATTCGTCACGTTTTCGTAATTTTATCGATTACATTTGTGCAACTCTACTTAATTATTTTATTGATTAAAGTACACCAACAAATCTCATAGAAATGTCGATAACGTTACTTTTATTCCCCCAACTTTTCGAAATACACCATGATAAGAATGCGAAGAAGGACGGAGGAGGAGCGCGCGGAGAATATAAGGAGAGCAAAATAAAAATAAACACTTAAAATGAAAATTGATAAAATCGATAAAAAAGGGAAAATGACATAAACATCCTAGCAACGATTGTAAGAATTTATTGAAGAATGAAAAATTATTTACAAAAAGAATAAAATTTAAAAGAATGTAAATTCTAATTTTAAATAACT